TATATATATATATATATGCATGCACGCACCGAAGAAGACTTAACAATATCTTAGAAGAAACTATAAAAAAGATAAATATAATTCTCTCGTATCAGATACAGTGTAACCCGGATATAAGAGTTGTCGGGACCGGAGAAGAAGTTTCTTATATCCGGGTTTGGTCTATTTTATATACATTAACACAGGCTCTAATTTGGGACCAGAGAAAATCTCTCTTATATCCGGGTTTGGTCTATTTTATATACATTAATACAGGCTCTAGTTTGGGACCAGAGAAAATCTCTCTTATATCCGGGTTACACTGTAGAATAAAATCAGATTTTGAATAAACTGTTATTTATGAATTTCATACCCACTTGAAGAACGTTTCTTTATTAACGTTATAAATGCAAATAACATATTCATTGATCAAACTATTACAACATTATTATGTAGATTAACTGTTTATCTGATAATGGCTCTGATAAATTCAGCATCCCGAACAATACACGATGAAATATCATAACGTACAAAAATAATTATAGATATTGCTAAACATTTATACCATATCAGTTGTTTAAAAGAACTTTCCAAATACTAGAAACCTTATTCATTAAAAAATAAACCTAGTATTAAACCTTATTATATTTAATGAAAAACTCTCATTACAAATCGCCATATGACATGGGAATAAACATGGAATATAACCCAATATCTTTAAAAAAGTTTTATGTATGCCTTTAGAATTCGAGAAATACTTGCAGAGGCCTCCTACATGAAGTCAAAAACTTGACAGGAAGTAAATCAGAAAAAAACACTTCAAAACATAAGTTGTGTCTTGAATATAGCACATGCCCACGCTTGCGCATGCACCCACATTTCATATATATTCCTTTTCCATACATATATACATATTTTATTACTAGGAAATAGTATATATATATATATATATATAATTCTCAATGTGTGCGTGCGTGTCAACGAATGTTGTTTATGCGTTTCAAGTTTTATCAGATTTCGATTTTTTTTTGTTTGATAGATAATTCTTCAGTGACAGTTTTGAGTTCAAATTGTTGGTGCCAATGGCTCTCCACTACTTCCTGTATATTATAACTCACAGCAACGTTTTACAATTTACTATCTGTTCCTGGATATATATCTTTCATAAAAAATTTAATAAATAGTTTGAATTATTACAATAATATTATCTATATAATTCTCAAAATATGTGTATGTATCTCTGTGTGATCGGATCTTGTTTATGCGTTTCCATAATTTTCATAGAATTTCAATTAATTTTTTTTTTACAGTATTTACATTAGTCGGACTATTGTCCTCATCTTTGTCGCCATATCTGTCACAACGTTTCGGCCGTTGTACGCTCCGGCCTTCTTCAAGTTGTTGGAATGTCGAACTGAACCCTTTATTTCGCTCACTGGGGTAGACTGTTCTAGTTCCACGTGCCATGTTTGATGGATGTCAGTTATCAGTTATCTCCTGCTAATTTTCCCTCTGAAAGTTCTCCATTGCCTTAACCAGGTATTGAACTCACCTTCTTTGGGTCTGTCACTGGATCTAACCAACGCCTTTATCCACTGTGCCATGTGTCCTTGAAGAAGGCCGGAGCGTACAACGGCCGAAACGTTGTGACAGATATGGCGACAAAGATGAGGACAATAGTCCGACTAATGTAAATACTGTACATAATACCTCATCTCAGAAATATAAACAGAATTTTTTTTTATCTATAAATAATTCTTCAGTGCCGGATTTGAGTCCAAAATACACATTCCCCTTCACTTGACCAAGCGTTCCATCTCTGTCAAGTGGATTACCTTTTCCGTTTCATAAAGCCTACAACTACAGTTTTAAGACGTTGCTTTCATTATTGTTTATATCTGTTCCCAATTGACCTGCCAGTATTTGCATTTCATTCACCGTAGTAATAAGTAACCTTTTTTTTATTATTATAGCCATTTATTTTTTCCTACCTTTCCTAAAGTTATTCGACCTTAATGATCTCTGGAGCTTTACAGCGTTATCATTTGGTATTTGCCCATGTACTCCATTTGACAATTCATACTTGCCTAAGACATGCCACCAAAGAAAAGAACTTGCCTAGGTCGGAAAACCGCTAACGCCAGTTCTGCCATGCGAATCAGGGATAACGAATCATCTTTCGAACGTTCAGTTTGCCTGTCTCAAAATGCCTCTCGGAATCCTTCTGAGCAACTGAGTCCGAAGATCAACGGAGCCATCGGCTTTCCAGAAGAGCATATCTGAACACTTCTGTGCGCGAGGCTGAAAATTATGATCAAATCACTCAACGGCTGAGAAGAAACGCCTCTTCAACTGCTGCTGTGCGTGAGACTGAAACAAGATTGAGAATGCTAAAACAGCCTTTTTCAAAGCCCCCCTCATTCAAATTAACCCCCTCCATTTGGGGATGTGCCTCAGTTGTACCCAATTGGTGTTACGAATATTAAATTTCGGGTGGGATGACTTAAAACTTAAACTGCTCCAACTGAACGGTAAAATTACCAGTAACGGAAGACCCGATCGAAGACGGGTTATATTGCTTATATATATATATATATATATAAGTACACACAAACAGGCGTACATCAATCTTTCACTAAAGCAAGTTTTATTGGAAGCTTATTCATTTACTGTCAGTATGTTGACGAAACTTTTGCACGTTTGTGCTTTTCAAACATGCTCCCGCAGATTAAATAAGTCCAATAAAAATTAGGTATATCCATCGGTTGCAAATATTTTTCACACAATTTGCCATTAGACTGCAGTAATTTGGGCCTGCTTACAGATCAGGCCAAATGAGACGTTATTTTAAAGTATGGCTTATATTTTACTCGTTATAATTATAAATTCTGCGTCTTCCTTTCGTCAATGAAGAAGGCATGTATGTAGTTGTCAGCTAGTATTATGCAGTGAATAAGGACAGGGATGCCGGCCATGGACATATAACACAACTGTATAAAAGTGCGAATACTACGTCTCTGAAGCAGATGTTCTCACCATCAATGGGCATTACACACACACAATATATATATATATATATATATATATATATATATATATATATATATATATATATATATATATATATATATATATATATATATATATATATATATATATATATATATATATATATATTATATTATATATTATATTATATATATTTATATTATGACATCTGTCTACACTTTCCTGCTTACTACACTGCCCGTTTGTTTTGTTTTTTTTGTTACCGCATTGATGCGTCGCTTTAGAAGCAGAGACATAATTCTGTGCCATCCATAAAATTGAACCTGGCACATAATCTTCCTGCAGAGTGAAAAAAAACCCGTCGCGCGAAACTAAAATCTAGATAGTTGCATTCAACGATTATCCGGCAATGGTCAATGACTTTGAGTGACATGCGCATTTCAAGCCCAGTCGGTTAATGGGGATAACGAGCGACTTTGAAATAAGCTTAATGAATATTTGTGGAAATCACGCCAAAGCATTTAGAGAAACTCATTGGTAGACACGCCCATCTTCACGAAAGCCTTTGATGGAGGTGAGTTCTTCAAATATGTCAGCCATCGTAAAACAATCTCTGAGCCGTTCAAATATTTCGTGCAATAATAAAAGAAATGCTCAACTCGATAAAAATAAACAGATGAAATTAACACGATCTATATTTCTCAGATGAGGTATTGTAATTTCCCTATTTACAACGGTCGAAACGTTATGAATATGGCAACAAAGTTGAGGACAACAATCCGAGCAATGTAAATAGTAGAAATAAACATCGTTAAAGAATGAAGCGTCTACACAAATAGGGATGTCCATTAAAATAACGTTTAAAGTAATAAAACTTGTCTGATTTAAAAAAAAAAAAAAATCCCATTTTATCTCTCTATATATATATATATATATATATAGTGGCAACAAATGATTGGTTCACGTGCTTGCTTGCTACAGATGTGCTGATTAGGTTGTGTATCTGTTATTGAATGCATATAAGGCACGAGTTGCCAGTCTCAGTGAGAATTTAATTTAGCGTACATTTTTTTGCATTGTAAATATCTCTTTTATATTAGCATGAAAACTTCGGTACTTCATAAGACCTGCTTGGCGTCTTCAATCAAATTAGCATTAATACATGTATTGTTATCAGTTGCTTTATTCTTAAAGAACGAGTTCTTCATTTGTAGATAGTGTCGACCTGAGGTTTGAGACGTTACAACTTAGTTACATTGCTGCGTTAATTCATGTGTTATAATGTGTATCTGTCTGCTGATCTGGCTTACCTTGAGTGTATGAATAATGCATCCAAAACGGATTCTTCGTCTCTGTTTTTTTTTTTTATCAGATTTGATCAGTTGTAAACACCGACCTTTTCCAAATATCATATTTGCTAATATTCCGGGCATGATCATCGAAATCACTTACTTGACCTTTAACAGCGTACTATTCTTGTTTCTCTGCTGATAACTCATAATTTCTTATTCTGAGGAATATTTACTCAAAAATACTCATTTTCGATGTCAGACTATCATTCGGTGCTTGACTCAGCAATACCCGAGTCAGACATCGAATTCAAACTTGGAGAACGACGAAGATAACATTGGCAGAACAACAGAATCCACATTAACCCAAAAATAAATGTAAAAAATGCCAGGTATTGATAGAGGTGAGTGAGATTAGAATGTGCAAATAGAGATAGATATATCTATACGTATGAAGGAAATCGACAGGTTTGCATTGGGGAAATTTACTGAATCTTTGTCGATCGAAAGGGAAGACTTTCTTTAAAAGCCGCGTGGCAGGAAGAATTGAAGTGATTACGAAAGGGCAGCATCTGCACGAAGGAAGTTAGATGAATCAAAATTGCCAACATTGTGACCAATATGTGCAATGGCGTGTGTGCGTGTATCAACAAATAGGGAAATAAAGACGGACAGAAGCAGTCCACAAGACAATTTGTTCACTACCCATCGCTGAACACGACCATGTTTTCTCAAGGAAAGGGTCTATCCGAAATATCAAATCTCACTTCGGCACCACCGTCTATATACTTTCATAATGTTTTCTCGCCTTTATCGATATCTTTTCTTTTTCCTTTATTCATTGGAATATCTATGGCCTTGTTTTGTCTCTATCTCTGAGTAAATCTCTCTCTTTTTTTTTTTCTGGATAGGCATTTTTCTTCACTTCGGACGGCCATTTAAGTTCTGGACGTCGTCCTTTTTACACTTGCTGTTCATCCACTTTTACTTTTCTTTAAGTACGCATACCAATCCACTAATATTTTGTCATTTATTTGGAGGTTTTCCCTTTCTTAGTCTTTTTTCTCTTCTTCCTTATTCGTATTGACTGTCAGTTTTTACGTTACTGCCTGTTTGTCTCTCTCTCTCCAGCTTTCTCTCTCTCTCTCTCTCTGTGTATCATTTGTCATTTTATTCACATTTATTTTATCATTTGGAATGTTCTTTACCAATTTACTCTTTCTTATAGGGGTCCTTGTTTCTCTGTACATCCTACTCTTTCTCTTTAGACACATTTTCACACCCTCTCCCTGTCTGCACGACCTGCACTGCCTCTTTCTCTCTCTGCACAGCTCTCTTCTGCCTCTTCCTCTCTGCACGGGCTGCACACCTCTCCATCTTGACACACACACACACACACACACACACACACACACACACACACACACACTTTCTCTCTCTCTCTCTCTTTAATTTCTCTCTCTCTCTCTCTCTCCCTCTCTCTTTCTCTTTCCTCTCTCTCTCTCTCTCCTTCTCTCTCTCTCTCTTCTCTCTCTCTCATCTCTCTCTCTCTCTTCCTCTCTCTCTCTCTCATTTTCTTTTCTCTCTTTTTCCTCTCTCTCTCCTCTCTCTCTCTCTCTTTATCCTTTCTCTCTCTCTCCAGCTCTCTCTCTCTCTCTCTCCTCCCTCTCTCTCTCTCTATCTCTCTCTCTCTCTCTCTCTCTCTCTCTCTCTCTCTCTCTCTGGCTCTCTCTCTCTCTGGCTCTCTCTCTCTCTCTCCGGCTCTCTCTCTCTCTCTCCGGCTCTCTCGCTTATGGACTTCCTTATATCTACTCTTCACTTACTCATTCACATCTTGGACATAGATCTGGCCTTCCACCACCTAATTCGGGAATCTAATTTCCTTGTTCGATATGGGAGCTGTTCATTTCGTTACCGCGGAAGGCTGAACTCGTGACGGTCCCACATCACATGACTGTGATGACGAACGTGCGCTGTGCAAAGCAGATGAATCGTACGTAAAAATATATCGACACGTCCGCAGCTTCAAAGAAATATACTCAGGTACTTGATTTTGTTTATGTGCATAAGTTACGGTTAAATGTATTATATGCACACCATAATGAAACTCTAGCCTATTATGCCCATACACACGCAAATGGTGTTTTACATACAGAAAACCAAATGTTTATTATATATATATATATATATATATATATATATATACACTCACACATGGGAGGGAGGATAACAACGAACATGTGTGCGCAAATGGAAGACAGAGCAGAGTGTAAGAGGGAAAGTAAAATGACATGCATTACTATGAGCTTTAAAGAAAAGAAGTTGGTGAGGGCCGTGACCGTACACGTACAGAATATATAGGGTCGTAGTCCTGAAATGCCGGTTTTATTTATGTTATTCTATAAATACAATACAATTAAAAAATTATTATCTTTTTATTGGCCACCAAAACATATTTATGGCATTTGATGTCTCAAATGAAAAATGTATATTTCGTCAACGGAAAGATGACCCATGACGCTGATGATCCCAAAGTACACTAGATATTTAAGAACATATTTAGTGACAGTTCTGATATTTGGCCTCCCTTCAGGACATAGGCGATCATGGCTTTCCACAGCTTTCTCTTTGTTGTTGCTCTTACTCGTTTTTTCACCACTTGCTCATGGTACCACCCTGCTCCGCCACCCATTCACACGAATCATATTTTACTCTTGACCAACAGTGGTCCTCCTCTCTCTCTCTCTCTCTCTCTCTATATATATATATATATATATATTCTCTCTCTCTATATATATATATATATATATATATACTCTCTCTCATATATATATAATTATCTCTCTCTCTCTCTCTATATATATATATATATATATATATATATATATATATATATATATATATATATTGCTCATTATTCAATATACAAAAATAATATTAAATATATAGTGGTAATGATGTATGAAAAAATAACTTTTAAATTTCAATTTTATCCCGACTTCGATGTTTCTTGGTAAAATTTCTTTGTAAATTTTCCAGTGATCAGGGCTTATGGTTTTAAATGGTATTTCCTTGTTTTGGGGGTTTTTTGGGTTTTTTTCACTTTTACCGCTTTTTTTTCAATCCACTTCTTTACACCGTTTTGTACACGTGCGTATTCATGAATTTACCGTTCCTGAAATTTTGCTTTTGTTTCTGCCTTTCATTTTCTCAGCCCTTAGATTTTTCTTCGAAATTAAATTATTTTTATGGTTTATATACTAGTTATTGTATTTTATTAATTAAGTTGTAATATTTCATGATTTTAATTAATAATAAATTTATATTTTAAATTATGCCATATTAAAGTAAATACTTGTTATCGACACATTGTTCTTTCTTTTCATTTAATAATTTGATTATTAAAATTAAGTTTTTATATATAAATATATCATATATAATATCAAATATATATATATATATATATATATTATCGTCTCTGCCAAAACACTTCCCAGATATTAAAACTAAGCCTGTGTCTGCCAATGATGAATTCAGGTAGGATTTCTAATTCACTCACAATTGCCTTGCTGTATAGGTTAAATAATCCCGATGAGAAGACACATCATTGTCTTACGTCCCTTTCTATTTTTGTATATCTGATGAACTGCTGCCAATAAAGATTCTTGATTATTCTAATATTTTTCCCAAATATAACAAGGTTGCTGAGCAGTTCCAACAGATCCTTGTGGCGTTCGTTGCCGAACGCCTTTGCGTAGTCTAAAAATAGGTCCATGCCCTTCTGCATTTTTATTGCTCTTTCTGGTAACATATTTAGCATGAATATCGCGTTCATTGAGCATTTACGTTACAATTCTGCCTGGCCCTGCCGCTTTGTTTCTGTTCAGATTGGCCATTGCAGTTTCTAATTAGGTTTTTAGAATTTCAGGTTCGTCATGAGGTCTGTGTATTGCTGTTGTTCTCTTTCGTTGTGGAAGAGTTTACCAATATATTCGCTCTAGCGTTATAGAATTTTTTCCTTCTATAATATGAGTGTTCCATCCTCTAAATAAGCAGCCTGTTGACGATCGTGTATTCTGTCCTGTTAGCTGCCTCATTTGTTTATGCATATCTCATTTGCTGGTGGTAATCAGTTTCTCTATTTCTGCATATTTTTTTTGTTTAGTCACTCTTCTTTAGCCTGCCTGCACTTGGTCCTTATTTCATTGTGTAATTTTCTGTATTCCATTCCGTATCTTGGCAGAGTTTTTCTGTCTCCTTTGCATCATATCAAGAATCTCCTCGGTCATCCATTCGATATTTTGTTTTTCTTCCATTTATCGTTTGCTGATGTCACGAAAGCGTCTCTTAGTGCCTCACATTTCGAATTTCCATTGTGTTCCTCGTATCTTCTTTTCACATTGTTTATACATTTTCTTTCAGGTACGGGTCGCTCAGGAGTTTTTTGTATTGGAATTCCGCCACTGCGTTAGGCCTCTTCAGTTCCGCAGTATTACTCTTAGCTTACATATAACATGGCGTTGATTGCTTCCGCAGTCGGCACTTAGGTAGGTTTTGCACAGAATCATTGCATTCCTGAATATGTATAAGCAGTATCAATAATTTATCATACTATTGTTAGCATGATGAGATTATATCATGCTAACAAAAGCATGATACATTATTTATACTGATTACTCGTCTTAATATTTTTAATTAAATTTTATAATTATTAACTCAAATACACCTTAATTATATTTTTAATTATAAATATAACTTATTTTCTATAGTTGTACGCGCTTCATTCTTATCGCTGGAACGTTCTTTCATTTTTATTTTATATTTAATTATGAGGTTTAAAATTCTATTTTAAAATGTCCTATTTGCGCTGTTTGATTCATTCTGTGATACATTTTTAAAATTTCTATCAAATGAAATTTAATATTGACCGCGGTGCTTTGTGTCGCAGTGTTATAATGTTAACGGCTTTCCTCCCTAGAGCAGTGTTTTTATCAACGCCCCCACGTCTATCAAATATCGATTATTTTGAATTCATCTTTCATGCCTAGATAAAACTTGCGTATTAGTGAAAAATAATTTTAATATTGTTTTCATTTCTATTATAAATACCAATGGTTTAAATGCTAAAATAAACAACTTTTAGCTTATCTCCATGTTTTCAATACCATGATTGTCTGGGATGCTTACTACCTAAGGCTCTTACTCGAGGTTCGATGCAGATTGGAAATCATTGTAGATCTCCTTTTGTAATTTGCAGGAGGTTTCTTCGTTAGCAAGTAGCAGTACAACTGCGTTAAAACAACATTCAGCCATATAGAAAGTTGGAAAAGCAATTAAGGAAACTAAACGCCAACAGCGAAATAGAATTAAAAAAAAACAACTCAACATTCACCTGGTTTTCATATATTCGATTTTTGCATAAGAGTTGTATGTACCAGGAGCGCATGAAATCGAATCTAAAACGACAAACTAAGGGTTTTTACATTTTCCCCTGGAGGTCGTACGTTTCCAACTGGTTTCCGCTGTTTTCTTCACAAAGCACGATATGATGGAGAAATCTATGAAGCAAATAATGGAGTCAAAATGGCTATCCTCCGAGATGACCGAGCACTGAAAGCATAACTGTGATTGGCTATGAAAGAAAACGTCATTTTGTCGACCGTGTAACGTGGACGAGAGCTTTGAATTTACAGAGTAATGCTCTAACCACTGTGATTGCTTTCTTCTTCGTTTGTTGGTTTTGTAAGCCATACAGAAAAGTGAATTTAGTGCAAGGAATTCAATTTGGCCATGGCATCATGCCTGCCATCAGTGAGAAAATGCAACATATTACTGCCTGTAAGTCTGTTATCGAAGAGTCTCGTGTTACAAAGAAGCAGTCATGTTGAGAGAAAGTTACACGGATAATGAGTGAGAGAATGAGATTTCTAAGTTATTTTAGCCTCGAAGAAAATAGACATAGCAGGAAAATTCTGCTGAGTTGAAATTTCTACATGAAGTGAATCAGGCGATTTGTATTAAAAATTAAGAAAAGAATACTGTTTTTCTTCGACGTCAATACGATTTTATCCAAAATACCTCCGGTGTGATTATCTATCGAACCGCGTAAACCCGGAGTTATGATTAGCTTAGCCATTTTTTTTCTTTAACAATTTGTCTACCTAATATAAGGCTCAGAAGCAGCTCTATGTAAAGGGTTACTCAAGGATCTTTTTTTTATGTTAAGAAATGCTTGTGATATGGATATATAGAATATATAATGGTTTACACTAGACTTGATGAGGCTAAGATTATGGTGATCAAGGATACATCCTCTCAGGAGTTAGTTCTACAGGTTAGCAGTTTTCAGGTAGACAGTCTGGGTGGAACCCGAAGTGAATAAGGATGATGCGATCTTTAGCCGTTATGGTTTGTCTTGGGGGAACTAACGAATATACCACGCGTTAACACGTATCATGGAAATAGTCATAGCCTTAATAGACTTGCGACGTGTAATCTGTGGGAAAGTGGCTACGGGTTGAAAATAATTATCCGTAAGGTTGCGTAAACGATTTCGAACTCTTACAATACTGGAAAGTGGAGACTGAGCAGCTTCAGTCCTTATATGTCAGCCATACTGGCATTTATATTAAAAAATCATTCCACTGTTAAAATTATAGCCATATCCATAAGCGATATTCACAATTATCAATATCTTTGAGAGCGCCCTGAAAAGGTCGTTAGCGTACATGTTAAATATCACGGCATTAAAACTGAAGATGTAGTTATCACTGTTATGAGTCTTAGTACGTAACAAGACTGAAGATATGATCAACATATAGACATTTCTTTTGATCATCTCACCCCCAAGAAAGGCAATGAAGCCACTAAGGCAGACGGTAGCTTTTGGTATACTCGTCCCGTGTTCAGCTCACAATCAGCGTCGTTTTTCAGTGAGGTCGAATTTCATTTTGCATCAGTGAAATATTAGGCAGTCGAACGTTACTGGATCCTTCCTTTGGCGAATGAATCTTAGTCCAACCTTGTTCTCAAAATGGGATTAAATCTGTAAAAAAAGAAAGAAAGAAAGATTTCTAGTCACAGTGAACTTTTCAGCACCTCGTACATATATAAAACTTTCATATAAAATTTGTGTATTTAGGCAGCAATCCTTTCATGCGCATTTCATTACATACGACAAGTTGTTTTGATTTAGTTTTTTATACAATTTCTCATGTGATCTAATATTTTTTTTCTTTTCAGATGATAAATTACATAAAAACTGACCGAATGTTCTTTTTGACCGGGCCCTTTCGGCTATACATTTAGCCATTTTCAAGGTTGAAATATTTTAACTGTTAAATAAGAAATAGTTTGTTGCATTACGTATTTATATAATGTTTTAATTTTCAAAACCCGGTCAAGATATTTTGTCCATGTTCATAGCTGATATTAATGAGTGTTTTTGTATTAATAAGGCCTCCGTTGTTTTGAGCCTTTTTTTGCATTTCGATGATGTTATATTTTTGTTGTCAACAAGTATGCTACGAATAGGGTCCGGTAGGTCTCCATGAATATTTAAATGAGATGTAATTGAGCTATGGTCAGAAAGGTGTAGATTGAGTCTTCGTGTCAAAGATGTTGTAGTATAACCTATATTATTATTTACGAATTTTGATCGATCAGGAATACAATATCTTAATGAGAATTTAAATTCGCAAATAATAAGTGTCCTATATAATTTTGTTCTAAGAGGTGTTTATATAAAATGGTGTGAGCGTGTGTAAAATTTTCAAAGACTTCAAAAAGCAGGCAAAAGAATAACAGAAAATGAAGGGTAACTTAGAAACGAAATACGTTCACTATGGCGAAAATAATGAAGTTTCTATCTGAGAAAGAAATAACATTAATTTTAGATATCATCAAAGTAATTTGAAAAGCAAAAAAATCGTGTAAACGCGTTCGGTGCTGACAAATCCGGCCAAATGAACAGGCATATGAGTTTGTTTTGCGAATTCTTTGCTTGGTTGGGTTGGTAACGTTTCAACATTGTCCCACCTTATAAATATTCCTACTCCGACCGAAAGAGAGAAAAAAAAAAGATGGCAAAAGATCCAAATGAAGAAAATGTGGATCGGATGTAATGCAAAATCAGAAACTTATTGGACAAGAAGGAAATAAAATAAGAGCGAAAAAGAAAGTTGAAAGGATTCAAAGAAACTGTCCAAGATCAAAGGATGTCCA